AACCAAAATATGACTTTGAGTCTATCCCACCTGAATTTCAGAACCATCTCAGGAACAGGTTTGAGGCCTTGAACACTAATGAATGAAGACCAGATCAATTGTGGGAGGATGTCAAAGGTATCATCCAGGAAGAGTGCAAACGTACATTACAAAGGCAGAAGAGGAAGAAAAGACCAAAATGGATGTCAGAAGAAACTCTGAAAATTGTACTGGAGCCAGAGAAGCCAAAGAGGGAGGAATTTAAGATACTAAAGAGTTGAATAGAAGATTCCAAAAGGCAGCACGGGATGACACAGTAAAATATTACAACGAAATGTGTAAAGAGTTGGAGTCAGAAAATCAAAAGGGTTGAACTCGCTCAGCATTTCTTAACCTCAAGGAACTGAAGAACAAATTCAAACCTCAAGTTGCTATAATCAAGGATGCTTTAGGCAGAATATTAAATGATCCAGGAAGTATTAAAAGAAGATGGAAAGAATATACTGACTCACTGTATCAAAAGAAATTAGCAGACACACAAGAATTTCATGAAACAACATATGAGCAAGAGCCTATGGTGATTTGCAAGACTACCATTCTCTAATTCAAAGTCTATATTCAAATATTAAAAACTGTCCCATAATGTTCGCAATAGTTAATTTCCTGCCATTGGTCCAGGATCTAATCCATAATGTTCCTGTTGCTGTCATGCAGGCCTTTTTGTTTGTTTGTTTACAAGCTTACATTCCATTAGTAACGACCTAGATAGTGTCTCTTTTTAAAAGTAATCTCTTCATGCTGACTGCTGTTCAAAGAATAAGAATTTAAGCCAACAGACACCTAATGAAATCCCTTAGGATTAGTGGTGTCTATGCTGAGGAAATAGCACATCAACCTCACAACTGTGTTCTAACCACAAGTTTTGGCACCGCAGTCGGAGGAGGTTCCTCAGAGAGAACTGACAGACCATCAATATTTTACAGTTTTGCTAGTGAAAACAGTAAGATTGGGAGTCTGTCGCCATGACAGTCCGTCTGGGGCTTCTGAGTTAGTATTTATAAGTGGCTGTCCTGCAAGGTTTCACAGTGCATGCTTTGAAAACAGTCCTACATAAATCTTTAGCTCCATGCTATGTTAGTGAAGCTGATACTTTTAACAGAATTAAAACTTCACATGCTTAAAATATATACAAGTATGAGTTATTTTCATAGAGTGAAGGACATCATTAATAAAACCAGAACAAAAAAAAACCCCACAAAACAAAAAAGGACCAAGCCATGAAGTTGTGCATTTTGAAAGGCGCTGTGGCAGTGCAATGATTACGTGCTCAGTGGCCAGCCAGTAGGTTTGACTCCGCCTGGGAGACTGTGGCAGGATGCTGTAGTGAGTGGCCATCAGCTCCGTAATGCAGCCACAGGAGTTCAGGGGGCGGTTCTGCTTTGTCCTGTAGTACTGATATGAGTTGAAGTTGAATTATGGGCATACAACAATAACAATATATATTAAAAAAAAAAGAAACAAAAACCAACATACATTTTTGCTTTGGGTTTGGGGTTTGCATTATTTTTTATTTTTAAACATTTTCTGACAGCATACATTTTGGGTTGTCCCTCATTAAAATGAAATTGTCCCACATTTAATGAGTACAGGTAGTTTCCTCTGAAAAAGAGGTAAAAATGGTAGTCTTTGTAACGTCTAAAGCCTGTGGAGTTTGCTTAATCCTTTAAGTAGAATTATGATGAAGGCTACAAGTTACATGGCATTTACCAATAATCTGTAAGTCTCAGGTAATATTTTTCCCCCTTCATGTCAGGTCTGGTTTAAAAACTGCACTCCCACCTGCAAAGTACAGAGTTGTCAGTTCTGTCGCCTCTGAATACTTAGGCTATCTTGTGAGAAATATGTAAACATACTTGAGCACTCTTGGATAATTTTTGCTTTGTTTTTTAAAGAGTTATACAAAAGTGCAGCCCTCTGCATCAGGAAACTGTCTGACTCATATGTACCGACACCAATTACATTTCTGAAAAGCCAACTCGATCACAAAAGGTGCAAAATAACCACATAGTATTTTTACCTCTTTCTTTCAGAGAAGAAAAGAGGTGTTTATATCTATTGGAGACAGAACGTACCAACTTGTAAAAAACCCACAATGGTGCACATTCATATGCAGCATATAGATTAAAAATAAAGTAGTTGTTTGTCCCCTACAGTAAAACAGCCTTGCCTATTCATCCTTGTGATGGATATGCGTGCAAAACCAAAATGAAATCAAATCCCCACAGATGGCTCAATAAGTCACAAAAGCAGTTTAATCCTTTCACTGCATTCCATTGGGAAGCCTACCTCTAGGTAAGCAATAATGTACAGAATATATACTGTCAAACATTCTCTTATTTTTTAAGTTGAAACCTATCCCCTTCCACCCCCAGATTTCTTGTAAGGGGCTTTATGACTGGCTGTTTACTTTGATGTGCATACACAGAATCTTTGTGCATATTTTGTTTTGTTTTAGTAAGGAATGTATCAGGATACTGGAACTATCTATAGAAATCTTATCAAAAATTGATTGTGGTTCAAAGTCCTATATTAAGAGTCATCCAGGAAAATTTAAGTGTATTTTCATGTTGCTCTTCCTGAAGGATTTTACTGGGAAACAGTTGAGTTTCAAGCAGGAGTGAAAAGAAAGTAGACCTTGGAGGCTTACAATTGAGCAGATGCCGTAAATGCAGCTTTGGAAATACAGCTGTCAATTCAGATCTTTTCCGCTGAATACCTGCATGAGCCAATAGCTAAAGCTGCTGTCAGAATAATGTTTCTGTAGGCCTCTTGAAAATAGACATTATAAGAGATCATATTTAAAAAAAAAATTGGTAGTGCACCTATCATGAATCTATTTCTGAATATTTCATCTTTTCTTGGTTCTCATTTTCCTTGCATTTTTTTCAGGTTAATGATGGCACCTTATGTAATAAGGCACTTGTCTCTAGTACTGTGAAATTTTTCATTTATGAGCTGCTAACATGTCAAACCAAATCAGAAATTCTTGACATCTTTATTATTGCATTAAAGCAATTCCTGATATTGACTCTTGGGAAGGATTTAATTTTCCTACTCTCTTAACCTGAAAGTTGTACTTTTATGCAAAGATAGTTTTATATCACTCAATGGGTTTACACTACACATACATAAGCTCAGAAGACTCTGTAACATCAGAAATTACTTATAGCAGACCAACTGGCTGATTAATTTGAACTGCCAGAGAGGCTCCACTTTAGGAGTTATCATTTTAATTCCCTTCAGATTATGTGCATGTAGGTAGATAGTTGGAAGCAGGAGTGGCATCCACTTCCATAGTAGCTTGCCTCTGGTAACTCTGTTTACCTGGAGAGAGATCAAAAGTTATACAGGAGGTATCCAGGACTTTTGTTCATAGGGTTGCTATGAGTCACCTGCAACTCAACGGCACTTAACAACAACAACAACAGGTAGATAGATAAATACATAGATGCATAGAGACAGAAAGACATAGAAGATAGATAGATAGATAGATAGATAGATAGATAGATAGATAGATAGATAGATAGATGATAGATAGATAGATGATAGAGGGTTGTTGTTGTTGGGTGCCATTAAGTCGACTACAAATCACAGTGATCCTATGAACAAGGTACTGAACCTAAGTCTTACAGGGTTTTCCAAGGCCTATTAATTCAAAAGTGGATGACCAATCTTTCTTCCTAGCCTGCCTTAATCTGGGAGCTCTGCTGTATATAATATGCCTTCAAGTCGGAACTGACTCATAGTTTACCTTCTCATGGGTTTCTAGAAACTGTACATCACATAAGGAAGATTGATTATCTTTCTCCTGCAGAAAAGCTGGTGAATTAAAACCGCATCCCTTTGTGTTGGCAGTGTATTTAAATTCTACTTGTCTACATCTCAATTCTGGATGACCTCTGTCAGTTTTCTGAGGCTGCAAATCTTTATAGGAGGACACTACTTGTATTTGGCTTCAAAAGACGCTAGTGGATTTCAACACTGATATTTTAGGGTTAGCAGCACAATGCATAACATACTACATAACTAGAAATCCTTACCTTATAAGATACATATTTTCCACAAGCAGCCTTTTACACGATAGAATAAAACACTGCTCAGCCTCGTGCCATCCTCTCAACAGCTGCCAAGTTTCACATGTTGCAGTCATTGCATCAATTAAGAATCTTCCCCTTTCCACGGTCTCAATATAATGTTCCTCTCCAGGGATTTGAAAGTCCTATTAGTATGTCCAAAATCTCACATTATCTCTTCCAAGAAGAATCCACTGTTACTTCTTCCAAGACAAATTTGTTCATTCCAAGACCAACATCATAGTTTAAAGGCATTGATTCTTCTTCAGTCTTCTTTATTCATTGTCTAGCTTTGGCATACATTTGAGGTGATTAAATAGACCATTGTTTGGGATAGACACACTTAGTCCTCAAAGTAACATCTTTACTTTTTAACATTTTTAAGAAGTCTTTGCAGTATATTTTCCCAATCTAATGTGTCATTTAGTTTCTTGGATGCTGATACCGTAGGTGTTGATTATGAATCCAAGTAGAATGAAACTCTTGACAGTTTTGATCTTTTGTCCATTTACCATGTGGTCACGTTTTTGTCTAGTTGTAAGGATTTTCTTTTCTTTCTGTGGAAGTTTAATCAGTACTAAAGACTAAAGTCTTTGATCTTTATCAGTGTTTCTTCTTCACTTTCAGCTAGCAAGGCTGTGTAATCTGCATATCACAAGTTGTTAGTTAGTTTTTCTCAAATGCTATTACCATATTCTTTTTCATATAGTTTGGCTTCTTGGATTGTTTGCTTAGCATACAGATTGAATAAGTATGAATAGCTAAAACATTATTTTGCATCTGCATATATATGGCAACATTTTCAAGTAATAAAAGCAGTAAGATATTTTTACCCATATTCTGAATTCACTAACCACCTACAAACTGTGTTTCTTTTAGGAGAAGAATTTCTGAAACAAAGAAAATAAAGAACAAGATTCTCCAGAATTTTTAAGAGAACTGTAAGTCCCTTAATGATAATAACTTCTGAAATATTAGAAGATCTCACATATTTATTTCACCTTTGTATTTTTCTAGATTAGAAATTAGCATAGTAAGTAAATGAAGCCTTCCATAACTCAATTTCCATGTATTTGGTATACTTATAAATTGTAAATCATTTATCCTATAATCCTCTTAGATAAGAGGAGTAAGGTAATCCTTGTGATGATACATTGAGTTGGCAGAAAATGTTCATGCTGACTCTGTCATATCCTTTAATAAACACTGTTCTTTGAAGTTATAAAGAAAAAAAAGAGTAATAAATAAAACGCAATAGAATATCATATTTTTCTTTACATAAGATGTATTCATTTTAAACAATATTTTAATCAATATTAATATGTTTGGTTTATCTGTACTCAAAAAATCAGAATTATAAAAATTAAGTATTTAATATAAATTAACTATTTAAGACTGATAGTTTACTCTCATCAATACATTGTAAATTTTTGGGGGGCTATTTTATGTAGTTATACTAGCTTTATTAAATATAATAGATTTTCCTTCTCATAGAGTCAGCTATGGGTCGGTTCTAACTCAATGACACACAACAACAAATGTTTTTATTAAACAAAATGAAATACATTGTGTCTGATAAAATGGATGACATTGCACAAATTTCACTGAGGTAAACAACTGTAAATTTTTATTATTTGAGCACTAGAAAAAATAAAATAACAAGATTTATTTTGATGGCCCTTGTTAAGTCACTTTTAATATAATGAGTGTTTTAAAATTAGTTTCCAGGTATAGTCTTTAAATTTCCAAATGTAAATACTAAATGTAGTCAAAGTTCAAAGCAATGTATCTATATTTTGGGTATCCCAAATAGAATAAAGTTCAATGAAAATATATAAGTTTGATTTAAATAGAAGAAATTCATAAAAAATTTCTATGATATGTAAAAATTACACTTATATAATGAAATTATCTAGTCTTCAAAGAGCTCTAATGCATAAATCAACATCTTAATTTTAGATGATGAGTAGAATTTACTTTGACTATTATATAAGTGTACAATTTGTTAAATCTATTTTCTTTCTTTTTTGTATGTGAGAGGGAGAGGAAAAGAATTTTCTTTTTCTTATCTGACTGAATATTATTGATGTGCAACTTCCCTTCACACAAAGCATTCTCCTTTTTCTTGTTTATTTCTTTTTGTTGATTATACATTTAAAAATTTTAATGTGGAAATAAATAAAATATAATTCACCATTTTTCCACTCTGGACAATGGTCCTTTCTAAAAAGAAAAAAAAATAATTCAGTTATGTAATAACTATTTTCTTGTGGGAAAGCAGATTATGAACTTGTTTAAAGAGTTCTGGATATAAGCAAAGTAAGAGTATTATA